GCGAAGAGGTCATTTTGTTATGAAGTAATATTATAACCCTATATAACCCCTATATATCCCTATATAATTCCTAAACAACCCTATATAACCCCTATACGACCCCTATATAACGCCCATAACGCTATATAACCCTATATTACCCCGCAGCCGCTGCCATGGCAGCCAGCGCCATTGCCACAGCTCCCGCAGCTTTCCTATCCTCCTATGCCCTTACTGGGGGCTAGTGCGGAATATGGGGATACTCTATATAGGGTGTATACAGGGAGTATAGGGGGTTAGTGGGGAATATGGGAATACATTATATAGGATTACATTCCCTTATTCCCTACTAAGAACCAGTAAGTTCAGTACATGGACAGGAGGTGTCGGCAGTAGTCGTAGTGGTTAGACAGAATCGGCGGTGGCGGCAGCGATGGCGTGCGAGTGGTGGCGGCGGCGGCGGTGGCGGTTGCGCTCGTTGGAGGAATAGGGTTGACGGAAAGACAGTGGTATATGCGTGAGGAAAATTAGCCCCATAGTAGCAGCGGCATTGGTACTTTGAAAGTTCAAGTTTGAGAAGCTTGCAATCGTCAGCGTAGCAAACCTCACAATCTGACATTATATCCTTGTCAAAGTGCTCAACTTCAACAGTGTCTTGAATACTGTTCTTCCAACATTGGAGCAGCTGGGGTTCTTGCAAAGGTGATGACGTTCGAGCCTGTATCCCAGATACTTGGGGCTGACAGTTCCTGGTTATTATATAATAGGGTTATAATATAGGGGTTACATAGGGGTTAGGGGGGTTATATTGGGGATATATAGGGATAATGGAAAAGATAATGGAAACTACTATTTAGGGTTTAGTGTGCAGGGGTTTGGGGTTGAGGGTTCCATTCTTAGGGTTTAGTATTTAGGGTTCCAGGATTGGGGTGTAGGGGTTCGGCTCAGGTCTATGATCTAAAGTGTTCGGGGGGCCTTAGAGGGTCTAAGTGGATTTGTGGGTCAGGAGTTGTGGGCTGATTAAGGGTTGCTGGCCTGAGGCTTACTCCCTAAACCCTAAACCGAACTTTGTTCTTAGCTTCTTTTACGGATGGTTTGCTTGTACAATTCTTCAGGGCAACAGTTGGAAGGCAATGCTTAGCCAATTGTTTCTTGTGAACGGTCAGGTATCTACCCGGAAAAGAGGTGCACTTGTTTGTATGGTGCTGCCCGCTATCTAGATTGAAGCGTGTGCGTGTTTTTGTTGCTTTTTGGATTTCACCCTCTCTGTTAGTACTTGACGTAACCTGCAAGGACCAGTAGGAGACCGCCGCGACAGATGTTGCCCAAAATGACGTCAGAAACATCGATGCAAGTGTTCTTGCGTAGATGTAACGCTAGTAGCTCCATAGCACCTCCACCACTGCCCCCACGACAGCATGTTTGCATCATCATCTTGCAATGGGGAGAAAAACACCCACATGGATTTGAAAGTTTCCCACGATAAGGGGACCCATTTTAGACCCCAAAATACCATAATCCTTATTGTAGGGATGGGTTTAGGGTTACGAGCCCTTTCAGAATTTCATCGTCATCATCATCACCAAGACCATCACCGGCGACATCACAAAAAAAAAGCTCCGCCCTTGAACCCTTGATTTTCCTAAACCCTAACCCTTAAACCCTAAACCCTAAACCCCCCAGTCCCTAAACCCTAAACCACCATTACAAAGATACATCTTTAAGCCCGCTTAAAGTGATAACAAGAGCCCAAAAGCTCCTGAACCTACATGAGCTATGGTCTAAGGTCCTGAGAGGAGGTTATATAGAGGATTACATACGGGATTTTATAATAGGGATTATACAGGGTCATGTGGGGATATACTGGGTTTAGGGTTTAAAGTCTTTAAAGGAGGTTATATAGGGGATTATATAGGGGAGTATACTAGGGGTTACTAAGGAGGCTACTAGGAGTTTACATTATAGCTCACATGCGCCCGGGCTTTTGCTGGATGTTGTCTTTTTGTGAGTGATCGTGTAGGTGGGACCCCACCCAGTAATAATGACTATAAGGGATACTAAGGATTGTAATAAGGTCCTCTTATATTCCTATGATACCACTATGACAGGGTGGGGGGTCCTCCTAAGTGATTGCACGTGAGGTGTTTGTATGGCTCGCCTCCATTCCATGCCTATGAGGAGGATGACGAGGTCTGAAGTTTGGAGTTTCGGGTGACCCACACGAAAAGTGGAAAATCAAATGGAAAAGAATGTAGGAAATGACAGGGAGACTGGGGAATATATACGGGATACATAGGCTGATATTGCTATAATGATTACTGTTAGAATTTTTTCGCCTTTGATAGTTTCGGGGTTACCGAGACTTCAACGATAAGCTTAGCCAAAAGGCCCAGAGTTTTATCATCCCGTGAGACTGCTGGATGTACCCGCAGCAGGCCTTGTTGGCGATATAGAAGGCATGTAAATAGTACTTCAGCCCCGTATAGCATGATTAGATGTGTTGGACCTTGTACTACGCGGGGGTGCCTCCGCATATGCATAGAGTTTATTTCTGCTATTGTTTAGGATTAGGCATGGACTGCGCACTGCACTGAAGTCAGGATCATTCTGGGCTTTTCTCTTCAGAGAAGTATGCCGGTTTCTCAAAGTCACCATCACTGGACGCTTAAAAATGCGATGACATATGCTCGATGCACATATGAAGCTACCCTGAGGTGCATCCCTACTTGCGCGGTCGGGGGAAATTCGCAAGTATGCTTATAACCGCTTATCAGCCACGTAATAATCCCATTGAATCCACATTCTTATCTAAACCCACAAAAAAATTAAAAAGCCCCCCTTGGCCCTTAATCCTGAGCAACTTAAATTTCTGGCGCTGCTTCTAGAAGCCGTGCCGGATCTCCCTGCCAGAAGACGCTAGCTTACAAGACACTAACACCGGAGAATATTGTAGTCTTTCATCCTAGACCCTCCAACTACCCTCAATTTAGGCCCAAGTACCTACTATTTGGGGCCATATAACCTCAATTCAGGGTACTAGGAAAGTCCTGGATATTTCTTTTTTCCATGTCTCACTAGGACCTGGTGACCTTCCAAGTACTGCTTATCGGGGGACTATGAACTCAGAAGCTCCCATTCTCTTGACATCAAAATCAAACAGAGCAATGGCCCAAATCATATAGAGGATAACAAAAAAGCCCACGATTATGCGCATTTTGGCAGTTCAGGTAGGCTGCCGCTTCCCGGAGTGTAGAACAGCAACTGTGGGGGACTACCCCCCCCGCCCCCCCACGCCAGACCTGCATATCTGCATGACTTAGAGTTTTCCTTCTTGGAGATGCAACTAGGGTTCTGTCTCAAGCATGTCATTATGTCTTCTTTAGCTTGAGCTTGTGAATCTCCCGCACGGCCTCCCATTGCAGCTAGTTTCGTCCTAAAAGCGTAAGCTTCGGGCGTTGGATGCAGCTGCAGCCATGCTGAACCCTGCACCCTGACATACTGCTGGTTAGTACGGAATAGAAAGGCAGTGAAGTAGGAGTTATATTGGGATAATGGAAAAGAAATTGGAAACTTATATTGGGGTTATTATTCAGGGAATATAATCCCTGTATAAGATATTCC